GCCCAAGCTTAACAGCCGTCGACTCTACAGGAGTTGCTTCAACAAGGCTCTCACAGTCTGACACTGACTCCTCCACCACCAAGCCATCAGAAGATGCTTCCCCGAGGACCCCAACACAAGCCCCTGCCGCTCCAAGCACCACAGGTGGGCCAAAACCAGACCCCGTAAGGCAACTAAGATCATCCATGTGGAACAGACAAAACAGAAGTTAGAAAACAAACAAACAAACAAAAAAATAATAATAATAATAAAAAAAAAAATAGCAAGACAAAAACTAAATAAAGTAGAAGAGCAAGAAAAGAAAAAATAAATAAACAAAATAAAAATAAAATAAAGAAAAAATAAAAATAACAAGGCGGACCGGCAAACCTCTGAGGGAGAAAGCCAGTCGGGTTAAAGTTAATGAGTAAACAAATCAAATAATTACGGTTTTGAATACTTATAAGAAACTTTGAGTCACAAATTTACCGGTTACTTTAGACGTTTAGAGATCGCAATTCACACACGTGCTACCACGGCAAACGCAACTGACTTTCTCCAGCATCATCTATGTTAAGCAAATATATTCCTCAATTTCCGCAAATACTATTCCTCTAAGAGTCTAAGGTAAACAGCACAGCACATCACTGACATCAGTAATTAACAATTTCAGATAAAATTTGGTCGATTTAAAAGCCTACTCAGTACTCACCACAGGATCAGCCGGTTCATTGGCCTCTTGACCTTCTTCCACCTGCGTATTTTCCATTGCATTCTCATCCATTTTGTCTTAGATGAAATTATTATTTATTCTACGAATAAAAAATTTAAACGATTGTCTACTGATAAATCGCACGCATCAAAAGCATCTGCTACACGAGCAGCGTCCGAGTTTATAAGGAATGCAGAAGCGACGCGGCCGTCCGACATCCGCTTCTCTTAAACTAAAACAGAGGGACTGAAAAATTAAGTTTCAATTTTTTAATAATTTTTATCAGGCCTTTTTGAAATCAAAATGAATAATTTCCATTATAGCTAACAAAATAAGTTTTCTCATAACTTTTCAGTCTCAAACGTCTAAAGTTTACCTTAGACATGTACATATATAATATAATAGCGGTTTCAGCGCTTATTAGGCATTAGGCCGTAAGCCTGTCGCCGATTCTTAACATCGCATAACACTCACAGCATTTTGCGGTCTCAAACTCGCAACTCACTGCTGCAATTTTGCGTTGTTTAACCGCCCGGCCTCCTTGCCGATTCTGACCAGAAACTGACGCACAGAGCCGGGATCGAACTCGCGCCCCTCTGCGTCAGTCTTGGTACTCTGAACTTTAACCACTGGGCCACCCTGCTGTACCAATTGTATGTACCAATTGTAAATTTAGGTACTCAATTTATCATACAGATAATTCCTTGATATTTACTTACGGATATGGATGATTTCCAGGAAAGACTAGATATGTTTGTACAGACTAGTACAGTGATATGTTTTAGACTAAATAGACATCCCGAATTGCCGAATGATGATAGTTAAGAGTACCAAGATCGGTTCATTGAATTTTGGCATTTTTTTTCTTTTGCTTACGGTGATAGTTCTAATGAAAATTAGCGAAGTGGTCGGGTGATTGTGAACAGCAAAATTGGAGCAGTGAGTTTTGGCATCGGAATCTTAGCCAGCTGCGAGAATTTTGCAAAGCCTACAATCGACTACAGGCCAGATCTAAGTACATTTTTCATTTCCATTGTCTACGCGTTATGTCTCACATCTACTATCTAGATGTGTTTTTTTCGCATCCATTGTCTAAGTGTACATGTACTACATCCTTTGTTTAAGTGCATATGTCCCACATCCATTGTCTCAGTGTGCATGTCCTACACCTACAGTCTAAGTGTGCACGTGATTATTATTATTATTATTCCACGAAGAGATTGTCGTGGCGTCTCGTTCGGATCGAACTTCGAGGGCATGTTACAAGTGGCTAAAAAAGACACGAGAGGATAAAAACAGATGACGTCTATGCTAAAACAGAGGACATATGCCAAGACTGACGACGTCTATGCTAGGACAAACAACACCTATGCTAAACCAGTAATATACATAATAGATTAGATGACGGCTAGGTCTAAGATCTGTCTCTTATACACATCTAGATGTGTATAAGAGACAGTGTGTACGTTAACGCTGGGCGAACACATGGCACCGTCCACTGGAGTAGTCGGTGGTCAGATATTGCGATTTCGATGATGTCAACGGGCAGCAACTGAATGTCGGTACGCGTGATGACAACATCCAGCAACCCGCCAAGGTCATGGGTTGGTAAGGTAACGTGACAGACCATGCCGAAGGCAGACAGCAGATCGTTCAGCTGACGCGCCCATTGGTCGTCGGCACGATCCAGTCGAACATTAAGATCACCAGTGATAAAAACGTGACCGGTGAGGGTCACAAGTCTAGTTAAAACATCGCTTAATTCAACAAAAAAATCACGTGTGACAGCAACTGATCCGGGACGATAGATGACGACAGCAACACATGCGAACGAGCCGCAAGCGACCGTGACACACAGCAGCTCAAAGGTGGTGGGTCGGGAGCCGATGTCGAGCCTGGTCAGATTCACGCCGCAGGCGACGGTCGCTAGTCCGCCGTGATTCGTCACTAGGGTGTTGGGCTGCGCGCGAGGCCGTGCACGCTCAACCACTTGGAGTCCTTCAGCCCGAAGACGCGCGATGGAAACCGAGTCAGCATCATGCCAGGTCTCGGTCAAGACATCCAAACCTGGCATGAAGACATCCAAAGAGCGCGAGCGGCGGATGCGAAGGAACTCGTCAACTTTGTTGTTCAGCGAGCGAATATTTAGGCTGCCGAACATTAACCGGCGACACGTCTGCGCGGAGTGACGATCGACATGGACGCTGCGCAGGTTATGAGGCCTGCGAGCCGATACATGTCCACGTTCAGCAGCAGACGGATCAGCCGACGCATAGTCTAGCACAGATGGCTGCCGTCGTGGCAACGGCCGATACATATATTACATATATTGTCTAAATGTTTTGTTTACACGTTATGTCCAACATCCATTGTCTAAACGTTATGTTCAATATCCATTGTCTAAACGTTATGTTCAATATCCATTGTCTAAATGGTATGTCCAATATGAATATCCATTGTCTAAATGGTATGTCCAATATGAATATCCATTGTCTAAATGTTATGTTCCAATATCTATTATCTAAACGTTATGTCCAATATCCATTGTCTGAATCTTATGTCCAATATCCATTGTCTAAATCTAATGTCCAATATCCATTGTCTAAATGTTATGTCCAACATCCACTGTCTAAATGTTATGTCCAATATCCATTGTCTAAACGTAATGTCCAATATCCATTGTCTAAATCTTATGTCCAATATCCATTGTCTAAATACATGTCCCGCATCCATTACCTAAGGGTGCATGCCTCTCTTCCATTGCCCAATTGTGTGTCTCCGCAGCTGTTGAACTAACATTCCATTCGCAATTGGATACATTAAGCAAGATGGCAACGTCTTCACTGTGGCGCGTCTCTCGTCTGGTATTTTAATTAAATATAGAGGTGCTTCATTAATTTGCATGCGCTTTCATTTCAGAAGACCCCACCGGTACAGTAACGTTAATTCGCTACTACTTTTGAGTACAGAATCTAAATTAAATATGCACTCCTCTGACACAACGGTCAATTAATATTCACAAGATTGTAGTAAAATTTCGATATTGCACTGCTTGAAATCCCGTGACTGGAATGGAGACAGATAAATTTTAGAAATAATGATCCAAAAATGTATAAGTGAAAATCGTCGAAAGTTGCAATGAAATTTAAAATATTAATTAATACACAGCTAAGGCTCTTTAGAAAGCTTGCTTGCTGACCTGAACTAGTCCATTCTATGGCACGGTGGCCCAGTGGTTACAGTTCAGAGTACCAGAATTGGAACAGAGAGGCTAGGGTTCGATCCCGGCCTTGGATCGATCCCCCGCGGGTTCGATACAAAAGTATGTCCTTTGACCAGATTCTTTCAAGACTGATGATAGTTTAAAATAGCTACTAGACTTTTACCGGATTCGATATGGTGCTAGGCATTTCAAGTCTGAACATATTTTTCCATAGCTTTATCTGGTCTGTTCTTGAGTTCTTGAACGTGTTTATAGTAGGAGCGTCAACGATGTAATCGGGGAGGCAGTTCAACATGTTGGTGATTCGAAGCGAGAAGAAATGTTGTCGCATGGATGTGTTGCCACGTAGTTATAGTCGCGGCCCCCGGTGTTGGTTCTTGTTTCAAATTCTAGTAATCCATCTGGGACCTTGCATAAACCATGAGTATATATGAATACTTCAATGAGGTCCCCACGCAGACGTCGATAACTGAGGCTTGGAAGCTTAATAATCTTCAATCTTCATTCATAGGACTTGCCCTTCAAGCCTGGAATTATCCTTGTTGCACGTCTTTGAACATTCACTATTAAATTTTTATCCTTTTCAAATCTCGGTGACCACACAACGTTTCCAAACTCTAGACTCGGGCGTACGACGGCAACAAACAACTGCTTCATCGTTTCTGCATCTAGGAACTCGTATGAGCGTCTGATTAGTCCAAGCTTGTTAGCTTGCGTTTCAACATGCTTAGAAAATTTCAGCTCCTTGTCGACGTGAACTCCCAAATCATTTTCCACACTAGACTTTTCAATCATTGCTCGTTGCAACCATGTCTTCTCATACTGTAACCTTGGTGTTCACTGTTCTTCCCGAGGTGAAGTACTTTACACTTGTCAGCATTGAAACGCAGCCGGCCCTTATCAGCCCAGTTAACTAAACTGTCAAGATCATCTTGCAATTGCGCTTTATTTGACGCATCCTTTACTGTATTAATTATAAATTTTTGTGTCGTCATCATACATGGAGCACACGCTGGAGCACTTCTGGTAGATCGTTTATAAAAGCAACGAACAAAATAGGCCCAAGAACGCTTCCTTGTGGCCAGGGCTCCCAAGCACTGTGTTTTTCCACCCAGATCTGGGTTTTTGGCCGTCACCTGGGTGTATTTTTCTTCTAAATAGCAAAATCTGGGTTTTTTCGTTAAGTAAGTTTATTTTAGCTAATAATATAATTGAAATATTCTCAATGCCTTAAATATAAGAGCGTCTGATCAGTCCAACCCTGTCAAAATTTTCGTGCCGATTAAGGTCGTTTTAGAGGAACTATATTCGGCTTAGGGGTGAATCAGGAGCAAGTCGGCCACGTAGGGTGTTTTGCTTCTATTTACCAGCCTCTTTTGGAAGTCAATTGCCCGGTAGGCCAAATCTGCGTAATATGATTAAAAAGAGCAGCTTGTCAAGCTTGTCATGATGCCCCTGGTCAAACGCTGATGACGCTATCGCATGATGGGGCTGGTCAGATGCTGAACAAGGTTAAACGCACGAACAATCGAAGTTCCCGCCATAAGGGGGTATATGCGGGTATGTGGGGGTC